TATCAATTAATTCCTATGATTCAACGTGTTTAGATCAATTATATTTTTAAGAAAAAATATTTTCTCTTTTACTATAATTATATATTTTTAGTATTATCCACAACATATATATATATATATATATATAACTTACAAACTAACTTTTAAAGCTGGTCCAAATCATATGCATTGATCAATTTGGTCAAGATCCATAAGACGTGATTCTAACATTTTATTATTAAAGTGTAGTAGCGCACGCCATCTATGATGGAAAAAGTAAAACATATATATATATATATAATTTAAATTCTTAGATGCAACTTAATCACCACACATATTTTTTATTCGAGATTTGAGTATAACAATTCTACCACAAAATCAAAAGTTGTACCAATTGAAGTTATTGAACTAGTACGTACTCCAATGCCACTTGTAACATCTTGAAGCCCAAACACTACTATTAGAACCAATATTTTTAGACCAAAATCTTATATAAATATCATTAATCACATATATTTTTTTTTTTGATAATGAGACTAGAATATTATGATTTCAACTACTCAAATCAAAATTACATACAAATAATTATAAATCACAATCCTAAAGGCTCACAAGGTACAAAATTGTACTCGTTGGAGTAATAAATTAGAACATACTCTAATACCATTTATAATGTCCCAGGTATGAGCAAAAATAGCTCAACGACTTCTAAAACCCAAACAGTTGGCTTTAAAAGCTTAAGTGTAAATTATGATAGTGTATAATTTGAGCTGTTATATGGAGTTCAACAACTACATATCTTTTCAATGTGAAACTAGTGTAAAGGCCCAGAACTCAACGTAAATGAATTTGTATTTTTAAATGTAGAAACAAATAATAATATTAAAGTTTATATTCTTTACACAGTAAATTAGAATATCTAATAGGACTACGGTAATGTCCCTACTACAACAGCTTGTAAAAATAAGCAAATAAATGGCTTAAAACAAATAGATAAATATTCTAGGGGTTAACCTCCACTAGCTCTTGAAGGAGAGTTCAGGAGGTAAACTACTCGCAATTTTTTTACTGATCGGGATCTGGATATTGGTCATCTTAATCTGAAATAGTTAATAGAAGAGTAAACTACATTAGTTTAGTAATAATATCACACTAATCACTGATAAGCAAAATTGAAGGTTGGTAAAAATTATAAAAACAACTAATAGAGCCCTTAATTTAAGTAAATTCATTTATTATGAAGAAAAAAATATATTCCATACTTACCGTTACGGGTTTTTCAAAAATCAACCTATAAAGAAGAGTAACCAAATGACATTTTAATTTCATGTACAAGTGACTAAATTAAGTAATTTTTTGTTTTTAACCTGCTTACTGGTACTCCTGGGGATCTATAGGGATGTCCCCCTCACACGTGAACCCAATATCCAGATTTATCAATTAACCAGTTGTCCTCATACCCCATCTGATAATAGGTGCCAAACATTCTATTACCTCAATACTCCGTCCGGTATAAGGATGAACTATATCTCCTAAATCCTTATGGTACAGGACTTTTTAATCCCGTCCGACTAAGGTAACATTCACGGTAGGGTTCCTTATGTACCGGGCCCATCCATCCTTTCCTAGGATACTCGGTAAATCTTTCACATAAAGATCTTCATCAACAAAACAACCATCAAGCGCATACCAATATCTCATTTCATATTCATATATTAATTAAACAACATTTATGCAAACAATACAATTTCATACCTCAATAACTAAGAAACATACTCAGGGTCTTTATTTCCAATTAGTCAATCAGATCAAGAAAGTAATAATTAAGCAGTCAATAAATAAGAAAATAATTAAAAACAATAATTAAGGCACATAGCGGAATAATAATCAACTTAAGAAGTAAAGGAAAATGAATAGGCAACACAGACAAACTAGGACAAATATAAACTGATCGGTTCTGACTACACTAGTGATCTGTAATTACTTTCAGAGTTTTTCTAATTTTTCACAAAGCACAACATTATTAATTATTAAGCCTTAATTTACCATAACAGGGAATAGGGTTAGCGATTCTTATTCAGATCAGTGTTCAAAATGCCGTGCTACCTTCTGCGCCTTTTGACAGTCCCTGAATTTTTTGAATTTTCTCTGCGAAAATTAAAATACCCGTCATATACCCAAAAATACCCCAAAATGCCAAAATCGATGTTGAAAACCCTTTTCGGCCAATTTTAGGGTTATGGTATGGCATTGCCGCCGTGCTCTGACACCTGCTCCATCGCCGTGCTCTGACGCTTGCTCTGCCGCCCAAGGCGGCTATTTGCCTTGGTCTTACCAATTTTGGTCTGTTTTGGTCAATTTTACACGTATCCATACGGAAAAATATTAACGAGGCCTTAGTTGACAAAAAATCAAAAAAACTGAAGCTACTAACGCGTCGGGGGAGGGGGAGGTGCGACAACTCCGCTGGTTCTCTTTCACGGCTGGGGTTTCTTCTTCAGTTAACCTGCATAGAAAAAGATAGTGAATATAATGGTAAAAAAATCATGTGAAACGAGAAACGGGAAATGAGAAGGGGCTCATCGAAAAGGGTTTAGAGTTTTGGTCGCAGTGGCTTTGCTTGCGGTTTTCAGCTCATCCACCATCCCTTTTGCTCCGATATAGCCATAGGAAGGCTCAGAATTGAATTTCGAGCTCAGAGGAGAAAATTTTACCTTTTTTGGTGACGATGGTGGCTCCGGTGCGGCGACAGTTGGGGATCAGCTTCCTTCTCTAGCGTCTGGTTCTTCTTCTCTAGCGAGGGCTGGTCGGCTAGGGTTAGGTTCTTCTATGATGTGATGTTTAAATACCCATTCCGTGTCAATTTGGACCGTTCGTTCGGAAAAACTTGGGGTGAGGGGGGTCATTCAATGATTTCCCATTTAGGCTGATTGCGTGGACTAATATGGGCCGTTCGCATGTGCGGGATGCAATCTAGTTCGCTGGATCACTCAGGCACGCGGATTGCCCGCGTACCCTCCCATGTGGAGCTGATGTCAACCTGCCTGCCATGCGATGGGCTCTGGTTCGCTCAGGTTGCTGACTGGATCATCCCACGTGACCAAACTTTTTTTTTGCGATTTAGCCCATTGTTTTCAATTTTTCTTTAAAAAACACTCACGATA